AATTTTAAAACGAGCCCCGAGTGCTCTCTTCTGCCACCGGTGTTCTTTATGTCTTTTATTCATTTTAAAACGATCAAGCAATTTGCTAGTCAAATGCTGGACGATTTTCCCCATCCCCTACATTCTGAACTAGTCTCTGCGAAGTCCTCCCGTCTCATTCGCAGTGGCTTTCGACATGTTTGTTACCGTACCTCGGCATATCAGCTTTCTGCTTTGTTCCTGACATGCTATCTCACGGGTGAAGAAACCGAAATACATAAACTATGATTTGAACTGTCCCCATTATAGCTGTTTCTTTCTAAGCAAACCTTTCTAACTCTTGAGTGATTTGTTAACTTATTTTATGTTCACAGTGAATGGAGCTTCGTTTTGCTGAAAACTTTGAATCCATGCTTTCAAAATACAGCGAGTCCTTCTTTCTTTCATGAGCAAAATTAATCAAACGACCAGAAGCAGATACTGTGATATCGTGAATTTCATATTGCGTTCTCATATAGACCTATTTTTCATTTAAGAGCGCCTTATTGTTTTGTAATCACAATACTGGATCTTATTGCTAAAATGTGGCATTTTTTATGCCATTGCGATTTTCTTTCAATAATTATTTTTAACTTAGTCTGTTTACTCACGCTCATCCGTCAACGGAGAGATGGGGGAAAGGGAGGTTTGCATCAATGACTTTCATTGACTGCAGAGGACGTTGATAGGCATCTTTTCGGGAAAAACAGAAAAGCTCTCGAATTTATAAATTCCGGTCTGTGCAATAGGGCAACTATACGTCTCAACATCGAGTGCTATTACCAGCAGGCCGGCTTTCATTTCACCACCGCCAGTGTCTAGGCATGAATAGGTATTCTTAGAGTCCCAGCAAAATGCCTGATGATTTTTTTGGGAATTTTTCTTCCAGGTGTATGCAAAGAGATACGTTTCGGCGATCTATCGTCAGTTAACACCTAAATGCGAATTGGACGCGCAGTGACTTAGTCGTATGTGAAACATTTTAATGGTCATACAGAATGAGATTTATTCATTATACTTTCAGCACATTTTTTTAGCCAAAAGCCCGAGGCTGATTTCTGAGGTTTGTGCTGCATCAGAACACAAAAGCCCTGACTTTTCACAGTAATTTCCGCAGAAAGTAACAAAACACAGCACTTTACTACAGATCTAGGGGTTTGGCGAAAATGACGAAATCGGTCAGAGGAAAATGCCAATTTCATTAGTATTCACTATATTGACAGAATAAGTACTGGCTAGAAGTCCGAAAAGTCCCGTTCTGGACAATTTACGCTAAGTCAGCGCTTTAATTTCTGAAGAAAGTAAGGAGTTGAAAAGCCAAAACTGCAGGGTACACCAGAGAGCACACGCAGAGCGCTGGGGGACTCACCGGTGGACTGAACCCCTTGCATCTGTTTAGTGCAGCAGCAGTGAGTCGGTGAAACATGTATCTGGATTTTTATTTAGAATCGGAGTATCCTAATGAAAACTTGTGAATATTACACAATTACTCCGATGTAGCAGATGAATTTTAGTTCAAATACTCATATCAACCCTCGGAGCAAGCTGCATCCCGAACGGCTTATTCCAAGTCAGCACATTAATTTTCGAGAAAAGTAAAAAAACTGAAAAGACCTTAATACTATATAAGTAAGTGCAGATAAGAGAAGCATCTATTATTTTTCTTACTTTGCCTTGGAATAGGAGGAAACTTTTAGGCAGAGAACATATTAGTGAATGTTTTTCATGCTGTTGTGGTGAGGTACCTGACTAATTTACCTTTGACAATTTAGTCCCATTTCCTTTGACTGCATTGCTTGTTTGAATGTGACGAGAAACCACACACCTGTACAACCCGCCTTGCTAGCGTGCTCTGCTGTGGTATTCTGTTGTCAGTTTTTCTTAACGTTCAAAAATCTCTATATTATTCGCTGCTCCGATTTACTTGCTGCATTTAAGGCTAGGGGCTCGTGAGATATAACTCGTTAGTTCGTGAGAACATTACGATTTACGACATTGGTGACTCCCGACGTTTACGCAGACTTTATGGCTTTCTGTCATACTGGATAACATTTAACGTACTATTTGCTTGTGAATATCTATTCCATTTACATTTACTTTCCTCACGAATTCTGATATTTTGACATCTCTGTCTTATTACGTCTCACTCCGATCAACAACTTGATGCCCCCGCCCAGTCCCTTCATGCAATCAATTTTACTTTGCCTGAATTCTGGCAACACGCTCCAGAACTTTACTTCATCCGCATAGAATCAGCCTTTTATTCTGCCAACGTTACCAAGGAGCTAGCAAAATACCACAAACTCGTGGAGGTCCTCCCCGCTAGTGTCCTCTCTCAAGTTCAGTCCTTGCTAGCTAATCCTCCTGCAGATGCTCCCTACTCCGCGTTAAAGGCAGAAATCCTCCGACTTAATTCTGTGTCTGACAGACAGAGGTATCACCAGTTAATTAAGGAGGAGTCACTGGGTGACCGGAAGCCCACAGAGCTTCTACGTCAGATGCGTTGTCTCCTTGGAGACATGCAAGTTGATGATACATTTGTCAAGGAGATGTTTCTGGAGCGCCTGCCCATAGATGTTCAAACTATCCTGGCGTCCGGCTCTCAGGATCTCACAGTGTCACAGTTGGCTGAGATGGCGGATCGAATGATAGAGGTGCAACGATTCCAGTCACCTTCCGTTGCCCAGATCTCATCCTCATCGTCAGTGAATGAGCATTTACTAAAACAGGTGTCGGCCATGGCAGATGAGATGGCCTCTCTTAAAATACAGCTCGCCCGCCTAACTTCCAGTCGCTCACGCAGTCGTCGTCGTTCTCGTTCGCGACCTCGGACTGCTGATACTTGCTGGTACCACACTAATTTCGGCGTAAAGGCCCGTCGCTGTTCCTCACCTTGCTCTTTTAAGCCAAAACAGGGAAACCAGTCAGCCAGAGAATAGATGCGACCGTTTTCTCTGGCTCCTCCGGCTCTGGTCGCACCTTCTCTGTTTGCGACACTGCGACTCGCAGACGTTTTCTGGTGGACACTGGAGCTCAAATCAGTGTTGTTCCCCCAACTGCAGCTGATCGTCGTTTCCCTAGTCCTGGTCTTCATCTTCAAGCTGCTAACTGTTCCCCAATTCCCACTTTTGGCAGTCTGTCCCTCACCCTGAACATTGGCCTTCGTCGGTCATTTACTTGGATCTTTGTGATTGCTGATGTCCCTCATGCAATCCTCGGCTCGGACTTCCTTGCCGAGTTCGATCTCCTTGTTGACTGTCGACGTGCCCGTCTCCTCGACCGCACAACCGGTCTGTTCGTCCGTGGACTTATCTGTCCTGGATACAGATATTGCTAGTCCTTTTCGGCAACTGCTGCTTAGTCACCCCAACATAATTAACGCCCAGTTTCGCAGTGAAGTTCAACATGATGTTGTGCACCATATCCGCACCTCAGGTCCACCCGTGTTTGCTCGACCGAGACGACTAGCACCGGAGCGTTTTCAGGCCGCGAAGGCGGAGTTTGAACACATGCTGCAACTGGGAATAATTCGACCGTCCGAGAGCCCTTGGGCGTCCCCACTGCACATGGTGCCCAAGGCAACATCAGGCGACTGGCGGCCCTGTGGTGACTATCGCGCCCTCAACAATGCGACCATCCCGGATCGTTATCCCGTCCCTCATCTTCAAGATTTTGCTGGAGCTCTTTTCGGCATATCGGTTTTCTCGAAGATTGACCTTGTTCGGGCCTTCCATCAGATTCCTGTCGCTCCTGAGGATGTTCCCAAAACTGCCGTCACCACACCATTCGGCCTGTTCGAATTTATTCGCATGCCATTTGGTCTTCGCAATGCTGCCCAAACATTTCAGAGGTCCATTGATCGAGTCCTACGTGGTCTCCCGTTTGCGTACGCCTACATCGATGACCTCTTGGTGGCCAGTCGAAATGCCGAGGAACACAAAGAGCATCTTGCCTTAGTGTTTGACCGCCTCGATCAGTTTGGCGTGGTCATTAACCCTTACAAGTGTGTTCTGGGTGTGCCGTCCCTTGATTTTCTTGGTCACCATATCGATGCACAAGGTTTGCGTCCCCTCTCTTCCAAGGTTGAGGCCATTCGTGACTTTCCTCCACCAACCTCCAAGCGTCAGCTGCAACGTTTCCTTGGCATGGTAAATTTTTATCGCCGGTTCCAACCGAACTGTGCCGACCTTATGCTGCCACTCACCAACTTGCTCTCTGGTCCCAAGGGTCCCCTTGAGTTACGTGGCCACGCGCTGACTGCATTTGAGAGAATAAAGACCTCCCTTGCTGATGCTACCTTGCTCACTCATCCTGCTCCAGAAGCCCCATTGTCCCTGATGGTTGATGCTTCGACCGTTGCCGTAGGAGCAGTCCTCCAACAGCATATCAACAACTCGACACGACCGTTGGCATTCTTCTCCAAGAAGCTTTCACCTGCCGAGACGAGATATAGCACGTTTGGCCGTGAACTTCTTGCCATTTACCTAGCCGTAAAACATTTCCGACACTTCCTTGAGGGTCGTGACTTCACCATTTTCACAGACCACAAACCACTTACATTTGCCATCCGATCCCATTCTGACAAATATAGCCCGAGAGAGATTTCTCATTTGGATTACATCTCGCAATTCACCACCGACATCCGCCACATTGATGGCCCGAAGAATGAGGTGGCTGATATGCTGTCCAGACCCTCACTGTCTTCCCTCCAACTCTCACACGGGATCGATCTTTGTGCCATGGCGGCTGAGCAGCAGCGAGTCGGTTGTCCTGGCGACGAGTCTGTTAGTGGTCTCCAACTCAAAGACGTTCCTCTGACCACCGGCTCTGGTACCATACTTTGTGACGTCTCAACTCCCTTTCATCGCCCTTTTGTGCCCGCCTCGATGCGTCGAGCTGTATTTCAAACTCTGCAATGACTCTCCCACCCTGGGATCCGAGCCTCTCAAAAGCTCCTCGTGGAAAGGTTTGTCTGGCCTGGCATGAACAAGGACATCAGAGCTTGGGCCCCGTCGTGTCTGAGCTGCCAGCGCAACAAGGTGCAGCGTCACAACAAGTCCCCACCAGGCACTTTCCCCAGTCCCGACGCACGGTTCAGCCATGTGCACCTGGATGTCGTAGGCCCCTTGCCTCCATCCAATGGTTTCACCTACCTCCTCACCTGTGTCGATCGATATACTCGCTGGGCTGAAGCTATTCCTTTGCCGAATGTTCAGGCTGAAACCATCGTGAAGGCCTTCGTCAGTCGTTGGGTCGCCATGTTCGGTGCCCCATCCACGGTTACGACTGATCGTGGTGCCCAGTTTGAGTCGGCACTCTTCCAAACGCTACTCAATTTCCTTGGCTGTACACGCATTCGGACGACAGCCTACCACCCCGCTGCCAACGGTATGGTGGAACGTTTCCATCGCCACCTAAAGACCGCCCTGCGTGCCGTAGAAGACCCAGGAAACTGGTCGGACAACCTTCCTCTTGCACTCCTCGGCATCCGCGCAGCTCTGAAGTCGGATCTGGGCTGTAGCGCAGCTGAATTGGTTTTCGGCACTACCCTCCAACTGCCAGGCGAGATGATCACCCCAACCTCTCGTGGAGCCGACGAGACTCCTGACAATCTTGTGCACCGTTTGCGGCAATTTATGCGCTCGCTTCCCCCGGTTCCACCTCGAGCTCCAATGACTGAGTCTTATGTCGAAAAAGACTTGGACAAGTGTACGCATGTGTTCGTCCGGTGTGACCGTGTGCGCCAGCCGCTGGAATCACCATACGAAGGACCGTTCCGCGTGCTTGCGCGCAACACCAAGACCTTCCGGATTCTTCGCAGTGACAAGGAGGATGTGGTCAGTGTCGATCGGGTCAAGGCTGCTGTTGCGGAGGAGCCGCCGGACCAGTCACAAGGACAAACATGTGCTGACCCCCTAACCCCTGTTCCTCCATCTTCCCTATCCCCTACTCGTTCACCCTGCCCACTGCCTTGCCCTTCCCCTCCCTTCCCCTCTACCCCTCCGTCCCGCATGCTTCCTCTCCCTACATGTCAACAGCATCCAACTGCAACACCATCGTCCACCACAGCACGCAGTCAACCCTCTTCGACTGCACCTCCTGCATACATAACTCGCAGTGGCCGTCACGTTCATTTTCCCGATCGTTTAGTTACCCATTTTTTCTAGACTTGTGCATATCCTCTGGCGCCGTATCCCGTCGCCCTCCGGTCTAGAAGGGGGGTACTGTGGTGAGGTACCTGACTAATTTACCTTTGACAATTTAGTCCCATTTCCTTTGACCGCATTGCTTGTTTGAATGTGACGAGAAACCACACACCTGTACAACCCGCCTTGCTAGCGTGCTCTGCTGTGGTATTCTGTTGTCAGTTTTTCTTAACGTTCAAAAATCTCTATATTATTCGCTGCTCCGATTTACTTGCTGCATTTAAGGCTAGGGGCTCGTGAGATATAACTCGTTAGTTCGTGAGAACATTACGATTTACGACACTGTCATGTGTTCACTGTAGGCTTATGTCGTGGTAGCACAGTTTCGTCGGGCACAAGGTTTCGTCTTAGGTCAGCCCAAAAATATTAATGGACCGAAAATATGCCACTCGCAAAGTTCATCGACGATCCTCAATCGCTTTGTCCCTTTCTCAAGTGGGCTTATGTATTAAAACGCATAGAAGAGGACTGGGTATTTTCAGTACGAGTTATCTAGTTCGATTGCCAATCCGGGTTGACATAAATATTTTGAGGACGGATTTGCCTCTTTTAAGGTCAAAATTTGCATTGTTCCTGCTAAACTCCTATTACTGACGACTGTTCTCCAACTTCAGTCTTCTCTGTGTCTCTCCATGTCTAAAACCAGACTGACTGTCCAACTGTCCTTTTTTATGCAAATGGTCTCAAAGATGAAATTCATATTGACCCAACTGTGAAAAACTCGGCGCCCCGGTGGGATTCGAACCCACGCAGTAAAGGGAAGGCTTTAGTACAGCCAACACTCTAACTACTTGAGCTACGAGGTCCCGTCGGAGGATGCGAGTTTAATCACATTTGGGTCAATTTACCCATCCAACCTACTGCAACGTCTGGAATCCACCAAATCTGATACAGCAAGCTGACTGCTCAAACAGGATTTCCTAAGTAGTTCACTTAAGAATCCACCAGATGACTACCAGGCTCACGTAATTCATAGATGTTTTGGCAGATTTTGAATAATTGATATTGACCCTACTGTGAAAACTCGGCGCCTCGGTGGGATTCGAACCCACGCAGCAAATTACGTGAGCCTAGTTGTCATCTGATGGATTCTAGGTTAATTACTCAGGAAATCCTGCCTGGGCAGTCAACTTACTATATCAGATTTGGTGGATTCCAGACGTTGCAGTAGGTTGGATGGGTAACTTGATCCAAATGTAGTTAAACTCGCGTCCTCCAACGGGGCCTCGTAGCGCAAGTGTTTAGAGCGTTGGCGGTACTAAAGCTTTCCCTTTACCGCGTGGGTTCGAATCCCACCGGGACGCCGAGTTTTTCACAGTTGGGTCAATATGAATTATTCAAAAATCGGCCAAAATATCTATCAAATATGAAAGTAAAGTGCTGAGGTTCTACTTAAGACGACGTGCGCAGAACTCACTTTGGTTCGTAAAGACAGGCGACAAAGAAGCCTTCGGCCCCATGAAGAATGCTTGAACACCAATTTGCGGAGCAGCCGATGTTATGGGACCTTGACCAAACACCCTGAAACCGAGAGTTTTTAACAACAAGTTAACGTCTACCTGGTACTTGCCGGTTGCAGTTATATAGCAGATATAAGAATGCTGGGGTCCACTGCGTG